GGAAACAGGCAATTATGTTATGGGAGGTGGTGATCCTTCAGGTGTGTTGGACACATGCCTCTTAGGGCTTTACATTTTAAACACTTTGGATTGTGCCTGGATACAGACAGACAAATTTGATTTTGTGGGTGTATACTCTCTAGCATTCTTGCAAGTCCACTCTGGAAGGAAGTGATGCTTCCAAAGATTATTCAAAGTTAGTCCTATGTAGAGCACATAGTGGTATCCATTCATGGTAATTAAAGCATGTGTTACTGCAGCCAGGCCTCACTTTCTTTGGAACAGACATAGTTAAAGCACCAGGTTAAACAGGGCAAAGGCACTCACTACTGCCCAGATGTAAAACTGAGCTCAGGAGCATCTCTCAACTGGTTCAATTTGGATGCCAGGAAGTACTTCCTGACAGTTAGGACCCCTAGGGTATGGAATGGGCTTCCATGGGAGGTGGTTGAAGCCCCATCAGGATGTTCAAGGCTAGACATGCACATGGCAGGCATGTCATGAGCAGAGCAGCTGGAGCCAGGAGTCAGACTAAAGGGCCTGGGAGGCCCCTTCTGACTCACTCAGTTTCTATGTTTCAACTACAACACCAGTTTTTCAAGTGGAGTTCATGTCCCATATCTGTCTTCTTCTGGGTTTAGCTTTTTAAGCCTCATCTATCCTATTACTGACTTTAGGCACCAATTCAGAACCTCAACAGATTTTTTTGTATTACATTGCAGGATAGGGAAGAATCAGAGTTTTGTTTCTGCTACATGTTGATGCTAATGTACTCCAAACCCTACTACTTTGCTTCTGTTATGTACAAATAAAATTCCATGAAGAATCTGAACATGTAAAGCTCAGCAAAGCTTTCAACAAAGTGCCCCTTGACATTCTAATTAGCAAACTAGCTAAAAGTGGGCTAGATGGAACAACTATCAGGTGGATTCACAGTTGATTACAGAATCGGACTCAGAGAGTGCTCCTCAGCAGCACCTTCACAGACTGGAGAGAAGTAACAAGTGGGTACTGGAAGGCTCAGTGTTGGGCCCAGTATTCTTCGACATTTTAATTAATGGTTTGGATGAAGAAGTGTGAGGAATGCCAATCAAATTGGCAGATGACACAAAATTAAGTGGGTTAGCCTTAGTACCCTGGAAGACAGCAACAAAATTCAAAGTGGCTGGAGTGCTGGGCAGAAAGCAACAGAATGAAATTAATAGGGACAAATGCCAAGTTCTGCACCTAGGAAAAGGGAACCAAAGGCACAGTTACAAGATGGGACACACTTGGCCCAACAACACTACATGTGAGAAGAATCTTGAAATTGTTGTAGATCACCAGTTGAATATGAGACAACGATGTGATACTGCTGCCAAAAAAAAAAAAAAAAAAAAGCTAATGCTATATTGGACTGCATTAATAGAAATGAAGCTTCTAAATTACATGGAGTACTGTTTCCCCTCTATTCAGCACTAATCAGGCCTCATCTAGTACTGTTCTGTACAGCACACTTCAAGAAAGATGCTCTTCTCTGAACTTTTTCCAGTTTGTCTGCAACAAAGATGATTAGGGGACTGGGGGAAAAAACCCATATAAGGAAAGACTAAAATAGCTAAGTATGTTTGAGAAGATTGAGGGGAGATAGGATAGCACTTTTGAAATATTTGAAAGGCTGCCACACTAAGAAAGGCCAAAATCTCTTCTCAATCATTCCACAGTACAGGACATGGAATAATGAGTTTAAGTTACAGGAAGACAGATTCTCACTAGACAACAGACATTTCCTAACTGTTAGAGCAGTATGACAGTGGAACCAATTACCTAGGGAGGTTTGGGGTCTCCCACACTGGAGGCATTCAAGAGGAAGTTGGACAGCCATCTGTCAGAGATGCTTTAACTTGGAGTCCTGCATTGAACAGAGAGTTGGATTTGATGACTTATAGGTCCCTTCCAACTCTACTAATCTATGATTCCAAGTCAGATATTAGCCTGTTTGGCAAGGACTGACTATGGTTTGATCAGTACTGACTCCTTCCCAGCTCTTGTTATTTGAGATCCAATTTAACTGAAGCAGTCAGGGCCTGCACAGGGGGACTTCAGTATGCAAAGCATGTGCTCCACAACCTATTACATCCCACAAAACAAAAGGCAATCTGAATGTATTAATAAGTGGGCTTGTGTTTGGAAATCTGAAGCAATTCTGTATTGAATAAAATAATAGTTGCATCATATTTCTCAAATGTCAGTTGAAGTGCCTGTTTATGTAGCAAAAGGTTGCCCCCTGTTGGTCAAAAATAATTTATCAGTTAAACATCATTAAGGGATACAAAAGTTGTGTATTTTTATGTCCCATTGATTTCAATGAGAAAATTAAGCATGTGCTTCAAGGGTGAATATCAAGTCAGAGTATACTATCCACACAGACTCGATAGTAAGTTTTAATGAACGCTTCTCGGCCTTTTGGCTAAGATCAAGTGTGAAGTTTTAATGAATGCACCTTATTTCCAAGTAAATGCATATGTGATAGTACTTTACCTCTCTCTCAAATTAAATTCAAAGATACTTAGAAGTGTCTGACTTATTCTGCATAACTTAAGTCTATGCAAGATCAATGTTTACACACTAAGTCTAATGATGACACAAATATAAGTAATCACAAAATGCATCAGTCATAAAATACAGGAAAGCAGTTGCGATAAGCATACATGAAAAAAATGCACTGGGATGCCTAATCTAAATCAAAACCTACCAGGATAAATGCAAGTGAAAAAGCAGCAAGAAATTGCATTAGCCTAGCTAAGAATTTGCCTTTATTCATTCATTCAAGAGTTAACCATTCCCAATTTAGTTTTTGAAAGTCTTATGTACTTTTTTGTATCCTACATAGGATCTGCTTAATTGACATCTGGAATCAACAATTTTGTTATTGTAGCAGCAACATCTATTTTTTTCTACTTTTATCAACTTCACTAAGTATATTTAATCATATAATAAACTGTTTTCAAAGTTTCTATTTTCTAGCAGCTCATTCCACAGAAATTTATGTATGGCAGATAATTCTAGGCAATGTTTATGCTGCACACACTAAACCTACACAGACCTTATAGATCTCATGGTGTCCTTATGAGAACTGGTAATTCATGTTAGATGTCTGTGGTATCCCATAAATCCAAACATCTCATTGCCAACAACAGAATGTTAGCTTAGATAATATGACAGAATGTCAAGTTGGACTGTTATATGGTACTTTTAAATTTGTCCTCTACACTGGTACCAGTCCTACTTACTCTCAGAAAAACCTTGTTTTGTATTGTTAGATGTAAATAGCAGTGGGAGAGAAGAGAAGCAGCCGAGGGATCTGTCACTGCCTGTCCCCAATGATCACTTAGCCAGCCTACATTCCATCATGCTGTATGAACTATTTCTACCCACGCTGGTTGTAGTATACACTGTAGCTTTAAAAACTGATGCTTAAGCTTGCCTTTATTTTTCCTCTTCCCTCCCTATCCCCTTTCCACTTATTGTAGAGACTGCAGGACTGTCTTACTACTGAGATTTGTAAGCCACTCTGGAAGCCGTTTTGTGTAAACAGCAGGTCAAAATAAATACAAGATGGTGACTTAATGGCCCATCAACCTGATCCAGCAATGCTCTTCCTATGCATTTTAGGAATTTAAGAGAACCATCCAGTTTTTTACTACACTCACCTGCATCTGTATGTCACTCACTCATCACCAATTTTTCAGGTCAGTTGCTGAAAAGGTATACAATACAGTATTAGCCCTCATGGTTCTACTTCTACTCATGCAGAATGCACTGAGAACAAGGATACAATAGTGTGAAAAGGTTGTATCTAGTGATATACACTAGGGGTCAGGATACCACAAGCAATAGCAAATAAGCCCAGTGAAATTCATAGGGTTTATCTGCTATTGCTTATAGTGTGAAGCAAGTTGTGGCCACCTGAAATAGGCTCTTCATGAAGCCCAATTCTATGATTATTCTTGAAATCTGATTAAGCTGGTAGCAGGAAGTGTTTTGTGACTGATCCAAGTAAATAAACAAAGTCTCAGTAAAGAAAAGGGGAATAAAAGGTGTCTTTTATAGAGTACTGTCTAGATAATTATTTGTCAGGGATACCTTTATCTAGGGCATGACCTGCACTCATCTTCAGGAGGAACTGATAGCACCTGCTCATGTGCTGAGGAGAAATTTACCACTTTTCTTTTTTCTTGGATTTCTGACTAGCAAAATTCTCACCACAGGGTTGTCTGTGAAGAATTTTATCAGACTTTTACTGTACAATCATCAGTTAAGTTCTCTATTTTTCAGTGGCCTGACTTCCAAAGATTTCACTTTGCCCTTTACTGTCAGGCCAGCAATATCTGCTTGCCTTCTCCCCACCCTCACGGTTTGGTGTCCAGTCTGAGGGTGAGCTCTATAAACTCAAAACCCTTGTTCACGACACTGTAGGATTTCAGTTAGTCCTAATATGAGAGCCAATGTGGTGTGGTGGTGAAGAGCGGGGGACTGCGTCTCCGTTGATCTGGGATCTAGTCCCTGCTCAGCCATGGAGCCAACTGGGTACCTTTGGGCCAGTCACAGACTCTCAGCCCAACCTACCTCACAGGGTGGTTGTTGCGGGAATCAGACTGAGAGCAGGAGGAGGATAAATATGTAAGCTGTTCTGAGTTCTTTGTAAGAAAAACGGAGAGTTATAACTCTAATAAATAAACCAACAATAACACAGATATTACGCTATTACGCTGGGACTCTCTCACCTCCAAGAGTGTTGTTAAATGCCATCAAATCGGCTCTGGCTCATGGCATCCCTATGACCTCCAAAGGCTCCTGCCATGACAGCTCGCCCCTACAGCTGCTTTACACGTGATAACCCTTCACACGTGAGAGGTCCGAGTCAGCCAGTACACGCGCTACAGCCTCTCAGAAGAACAGGCGCCGCGGGCCGGCCGCGAGGAAAGAGCGCGCTGGGCAGGCGCATGCGCAGCTCCCTCAGGCCTGTTCGGGCGCATCCGCTGGCAGCCTCCGAGCCGTAGGGAAATGGGGAACGCTTTTCCAGCACGGAGCGGCCGAAGCTGACAGGAAAGAGGGTCCAGCCATGTAGCGCCTCCCTCCCCGCACCGCCACCTAGCCTCGGCGAGACGTGCCGCCCGCCGGGAAACTTCCTCACGAACCACGGACTGAGGTGAGTGAGGAGGAAGCTCGACGCCTTCCCGAGAGCCGACCTCTCAAGGCGACGGCCGGGAGGCGAGGAAGCGGCTTTGTGTCCTGAGAGGACGGTGGGTCTGCGTGTGAGATGTCGGGAGTAGTGAGGAGGCTCCGGAGTCCGCCCACGATTGGACTGCGGGGCAGTCGAGAGAAACGGGGCTTGCTGCCGTGCCGAGTCCGCGCTTCATCGTGGAGAAGCGAAACGAATGGCGCCCTCTGTGCGTGCGATCCTGTGGCGGGCTTACTCGGGAGTAAGTCCCACGTTCTGTGTGGCTTACTACAGAGGAAACGGGACCAGGAAAGCGCTACCTGCCTAGCGGTTGGGGAAGAGGAGGCTGCCTCGGCCGGTGCGAGTTGTCACGTGTCCTGGGCGGGCGTGCACGAAGCTGTTCCACTGTAGAACTTGCTGCCTCAAGATGTGGCCATGGCCGTTACTTTGGATGGCTTCAAAGCAAGGGAGTACATATATTCATGCGAGATTTTCGATACCAAACAGGTTAAAACAATGCTATTATTTAAATAATAATACTGTTCAAAAACAGCTTTAAAATTCTTGCTGCTCACCGTCTATGAAAGGACCTGTCATGTTTCCTTTCAGATAGATAGATGCTGAAATCCTGTGCAGAGGGACTGGGGAGTCTCATTTAAGTCATTGGGGCTTATTTATGAGTAAATGCACAGAAGATTGTGTTGTGTCTTGCATGTGGGAGAGGGAGAGAGAGTTGGGTACCTACTATGGTCCAAAGATCTTCAACCTTATACTCAGGATTCATCTTTAACCAGGAGAACAAATTCCAAATACACACATTTCCTTCCTCCCAATTGCAAGGTTTCTTCAGATTTCAAATTGTGTAAAAGCCATTCATAAAAATTTTGAACAAACAAATATCCCCCTTCAGCAGTATATATCCAATTGTCAAAAGCTGAAGAAAAATGTTTAAGTTATTTTCTTAGATGATAATTATTGCATTTATATTTCACCTTTTTTCTTTATGCAAGGAACCCAAAGTGGATTACACAATCCTGCTCTTCCTCTCCATTTTATTCTCACAATTCCTTATGAGGTAAGATAACTGAGAGGCAAAGACTAGCTCAGTGTCATCCAGTGAGCTTTATAGTTGTCCAACACTGTAACTGCTACACCAAGGTGAAGAAGTTTCAGGTATGGGACACTGATAAGAAAGGCCCTGTCTCTTGACTCTGTCCATCTTGACTCGATATTCAGGGCACTGAGAGCTGGGCATCTGGATATTGATATATAGGTTCATGAATACATCTTTCTTGTTGGGATATCCAAATACTTCTGGATGTCCAGAAAAGGGTATTGCTTCTGCATTTTTAACAGCCATATAGAAGAACAAGGAGCAGATTTTAATACATGCTGTACCTGTCATAATAATTTATGCTATACAGCTACTTGAAGAATAAGAGGCCTAGTCCTCCTTTGCACCTGGAAACTTTCCTTTCTCTTTATAAAGTTAATAAGTAATGAGAAGATGGTAATGTTGCTGCTAGTACAGTATATCAAAGGTTAAGGTGTGGCACGTGTGTGATTCCTTATACTCCACCCCACTAGTATAGAGTATTGATGTAGCATCTCTGTGCCTCCTGGGATGGCCATATGCTAAAGTTCTCTTAACTATTAGGTTGAGAAGGAGAGCATTTGGCAAATGCAGTCTGTCCTATTTGGTTGAAAGAGGGAGGAATTCTATATCCGCTCAGTGTTCTCTTTTACTCAGTCAAGAAAAATCTTAGTACATCCTGTACTTCTAGTCACATATGTTTAAACTGGGTTACAAAAATAAAATTCAGTAGCACATTCTGACTTCTCCATATCTTTATGTACATAAGATTGTACATAAAGATACATGTATAAGTATTTCTATTTGTCTGTAAGCCAAAACAGGACAGTTGGAGTTCCTGGTTGTAAAAGAGAACTTGAATGCAGTGAGTATTATGAAAACTTGGTGGAATGGAGAGAATCCATGGAATACAGTCATCTTTGGATAAACATAAACTCTATAGAAAGGGCAGGGAAAAGTGAACGGGACAAGGTGCTGCTCTGCATGTCAAAAAGGGCACTGAGTACAGCAGACTTGAAAATGTAAAAGGTAACCCCTTCACAGAAGCACTGTGGGTGGTTATATTTGGCTTCAAAACTAATTTATTATTCATAACTTACTATCATACCCCAGACCAGAATGCTCAGGAAATCGGGGAGGCCTCAAGACAAGGAAGTATTGCAATAATGGGTGATTCAACTATCCTAAATTAGTGATAAATGCATCTTTCATTTCTGAGAATTAAGTTAAACAACTCTGCTCTGGAATACTTGGTCCAGGAAGGCAATCCCAGATTTAATCTTGGGTGGAGTTTCCCAGGACCTAGTACTAATTATAAATGTAGTTGAACCAGTTTGAAACAGTGACCACAGTGCTATCCAGTTTAATATATTTTTAAATGGAAGAGTGCCAGCATAATCACATTTGTCTTCAAAAGAGGAAGCTTCTCCAGGGATCTGGAAGATTCCAGGCTGGTTACCTTAAAGTCTCTTCCAGGTAAATTGGTTGAAAGTATTACTAAAGATAAAATTAGTAAGGTTTGCTAAGGTAAAGTAAGTATGGAAGGACAAGCCTTGCTGAAAAAGAATCAGCATGGTTTCTGCAAGGTAAGTCCTTTCTCGCTCGTTTAGAGTTCTTTGACAATGCCAGTAAGCATGTGGGCAGGGCTATCCAGTAGACATTATTTCAAAAGACTTTGGACAAAGTCCTTCAGGAAAGACTCCTGAACAAATCCTTTTATACATCAGTAACCAAATACTAGAAAGCAGAGAGTAGGAATAAATGGTTACTTCTCCCAGTTGAGAGACATAAACAGTAGGGCCCTACAGGGCTCTTTATTAGGAACAATGCTTTTCAACATATTCATAAATGATCTGGAATTAGGAGCAAGCAGTGAGTGACACATATTGGAAGAAAAAATCCCAACACCAAGTATAGACTGATGGGATCTGAGCAAGCAGTGGCTGAGCAAGAAAGGGATCTTAGGGCTATGGTGGACAGCTCAGTGAAGATATCAGGGAAGACTTGATGGCACACAGCAACAAACAAAGGGAAACTCATAGTTAAAGTATGGAATTAACTTCCATGAGATGCAGTGATAGTCATCAATTTGGATGGCTTTAAAAAGGGATTGGGCAAATTTATGGAGAGAAGGCTATCAAAAGCTATTGTATGCTACCCTTGGTTTTACAGGTAGTACGCCTGTGTACAACAGTTACTGGAGAACTTGAGCAGGAAGGTGCTGTTGCACTTATTCTGCTTGTGGGATCCTGTGAGCAGCTGGCTAGGCACTGTGTGAACAGAATTCTGGACAAGATGAACCCTTGCTCTGATCAAGCAGGATTCTTCATATATTCAGACTGGTGTGTGCGTGGGTGAATGCAATTTCAAAAACCTCCTTCATGGAAAATATAGAGAATAATTAGCAACTTTTTTGTTACATTTGCTGTTAGATGGAAAAACCTGAGTGTGCAATTGCATTTGTTTGTTTGTTTTTGTTTGTTTGTTTGTTTGTATGCTGCCCCATACTGCAAGTGGAGTCTCTGGGTGGTTTACAACACTTAAAGTTACATAATCATTACACAATAAAACTAATACAAGCATACAATAATAAAACAATCAAATACCATAAAACAACAATAGGTCATTACAGTAAATCCACTGCAGAGACAACCATAAGGTGATAAATTATTACAAACATTAAAATCAGTTGTTAAAATTTGTTAGAATGCCTAGATTTTTTCTTTAGTTTGGAATATGTTAATATAGCACAGAGAGCAGAAGACAGTCATTTTGAAATGGAATGTGCATTCTAGCCAATATAGATTTTACATTCAGATTATAATTGTGAGAAATGCAAATACCGATTCAATTTTAAACTTTGTAAAAGAATGAGATAGACATATTAAGATTTATGTGTAACCTTTGTATTTGCATGCTGATGCTGCAATGAGAGTCTGTTTCCTCCACAAGGCAAGACTTCAGACTTCATGCCAGCTGGAGATTTAGTTCCTCTGAGCACCTTAATTTACCTATTTGTCAAACAGTAATTTGATCATCTTTTCCTGTTACTTTGCTAGAACTTGTTGAGCTACTTTACTATAACCTTGGGTAAACTATTTGCACAGTTTTATTTGCCTCCATACAGAACTGGATTCAGATTAAATTGGAAATGAATAAGCAAGTATTGAAGAACTGGATGAAAAGTTATTCTGTCTTAAATATTTTATTTTATTTATTGCTGATTTGAATTCTCCAGATGGCCCAGACTTTATTACTTTATATAGTAATGTTCACTGATTTCTGGCCTACTTCTCGTAAAGCCTAAGCAATCATGAAGTATTTTGTGTTGTTTCATATAATGACCTACTTCTCAGGGATAGAACAGTACCAGAATATGCTGTGCCAAATTGGCAGGAACTGTAAGATAACCAATAAAGTTCCGTGATAAAGGATAACTAAGAGAAAGCAAGTTTTGCTTACTCCAAGAATAAATTATCCTCTTAACACACCACGTTCTAGTAATGTTACAATTGGAATTTCCCCAAAATAGAAGACAGGTTATGAAATACTTCCTTTTGAATGTAATTGGTGTATTGTTGTTGTAGCAGGAGAAAACGAAAGAGCAGTGACTCCTCCCCAAGAAAAGCAGTGACTCCTCCCCAAGAAAAGCTCATAAATACAGTATTGCTCTAGTCAAATTTTGTACTTGCAGAATACTTTGAAGTGGTGTGAGTATTTAAAAAAAAATCTTTTCCACAGGGATCCTATGTTTGACCAGCAAGCAAGTCTTTTTGAAGGACACATGAGCCTTATATATTGATAAGTTTGCTTTATTAGCATAACTGCATGCACTGGTCTTTGTAAAGGTATTTTATTATTTTCTCTTCTACACACACAGTTACAATATACCTTTAATTCAAAAGTTTATGTATTAAGAATTTTAAATCAGTGACTTATGAAATGGTTTAGATCTTTCCACTTTGAGATAGTGTATGGGTTCCTACTATTGCTTTTTCTTAGCATTTTCTTAATGCATGTTTCCATGGCCTCAGTCTTTCAGATGTATTTTGTATTTGTTATGTGTAATTGTTTAGCATGAGCAAGTCTTAAAATTATTTTTTGTTAGTTTTACAAGTTAATTAAATGGTTTGTCCTTAGGGATATAGTTATAATTTTAAAATATGTATGGTGCAATTCTGAACATGTCTGCCGATATGTAAGACCCACAGAAATCATGGGACCTACCCTCAAATAAATAGGTATCGGATTACAGCCCAAGGGTGTGATCCTATACAAGTTTAGACAGGAAAAAACCAGCAACTCCCAGTATTCCTACTGGGAGTTGTAGGGCAGGGGTGTCCAAACTTTTTGCAAGGAGGGCCAGATTTGGTGAGGTGAAAATGTGTGGGGGCCGACCATTCAGCCTGACATTCTTTGAACCATTAACATTAAATGCAAATGAACTATTTTATGAAAGACTAAACAAATAACTGCACTAATGTGAAGGGTGATACTGAGATCTCGACTGCATTATATAGGCTAGGTGTGGCTCAAAAACAGTGGTTTTGATGCGCAAGATGTCACGCAGGTGAAAGTCACTTAGTCTTGTCCTCATGTGGTTCTTGTTAATGTTCATAACCGAGAATGTCTTCTCGCACAAGTATGTCGAACCAAACAAGCTCAGCATTTTCTTAGCAAATGTTCGAATCTCTTGGAACCTGGAGCTGGCAGTAAAAGTTGACAAGAGGGAGCTGTTGGTGCCGACTGCAACACTCGGCGTCACAGTGCAGCTCAATGAGCTCCAGCTGCAGGTGGTCTGGAGCGTCATCAGGGTCCATAGAGAAAGGAGTTGAAAAAAGCGTGATCTCCTTTTCAATAGCTGCAAACTCCCGAAAGCATTGTTGAAACTCCTCAGCCAGAGATGAGATGTCTGCTTCATACCTCCTTATTTGCGCACTCATATTGTTCTGTGGAAAACTGGTCATTATTTCCTGCAGCGATGAGAAATGTGTGGTATTGGGCTGCGTTTGTGACAGGTGCCTTTGGAAAAGTAGCAGCTTGGTCCTAAAGGCTTTGATATGTGAATACAGTTGGCTTACCACTGCATTTTGCCGCTGAAGGCTCGTGTTCAGCATGTTCAGATGTCGTGTTATGTCAACTAAAAATCCAAAATCAGCCAGCCAAACAGGATCAGATAGCTCTGGCATCGGTTGTCCCTTTTTTGTCAAGAATTGTCCGATTTCCTCCCTAAGAGAGTAGAAGCGCTTCAGTGCAGACCCCCGACTGAGCCATCTTACCTCGTTGTGATATACAACATCTCCGTATTCAGCCTGGATGTTGAGTAGAAACTGTTGAAACTGGCGGTGGCACAGGGCTTTGGAGCGAATATAATTAATAGCCTTCATCACCGGTTTCATAACATGATCATATTTCAGATGTTTGGCACAGAGAACTTGTTGGTGAATAATACAGTGGAGTTTTATAGCTTTGCCTCCTTTGTTACAGACTAGGGTTGATAATCCACTTCGCTCGCCAGCCATGGCAGGTGCACCATCCCTAATAATCCCAGTGACTTTATTCCACGGTAGTTTCATGTCATCTACGGCGGAACAAACAGAAACAAATCTGTTCCTCTTGTTTGGTCCTTAAGGCTCTGGAGGTCAAGTAGCTCTTCACTCACATTCATGTCATTGTCCACTCCTCTCAAAAAAATCAATAACTGAGTGGTGTCAGATGCATCCGTGCTTTCGTTGCAGGCTAACGAAAAAAAGTCAAACTCCACTCCTTTTGCCTCTAACTGTCTCTTAATATCAGATGAAACGTCTTCAGTTCTCCGTACCACAGTGTTACGAGCCAGGCAAACATTGGCAAACTCTTGCTTCTTCTCGGGACAAATTTTCTCCACCATTTTCATCATGCAGTCTTTAATAAATTCACCCTCAGTAAAAGGTTTGCAGTGCTTGGCAATCAGCGTTGCCACCTCGTAGCTCGCCTCTGTGGCATTTTCATTTGACTCATGTGCTCTTGTGAAAAAGCGCTGCTGTGCCGTTAAAGCAGCTTCCAGTTCCTTCAATTTTACGCTGCGTTCATTCCCATTTAGCTTGTTGTAGTTAGCATGTTTTGTCTGGTAGTGCTTCTTGAATTCCTTGAAAACAGCCACAGTCTCTTGGCAAATTAGGCAGACACAGTTGTTTCGTATTTCAGTGAAAAAATACTCCAATTTCCACTTGTTCTGGAAGCAGCAGCCCTCGCTCTCAACGTGCCCTTTTAGAAATGGGCACACAAGCCTTGTGTCACAAGGGTCACACGGCGAGAGTGCTGACTCAGGTGTACTGCCATCTTCTGGTGAAACATAACCACCAGCCTTGAAGGAGCAGGAGGCAGCGGGGACAGCTGCTGGAACCGCTGTGCGGTGAAGGGAAAAACGCCGGCCGGCGGGGATGAGTGACAGGCTGAGCCGGCGGGGAGAAGAGGCTGCGGGCCGCTCGAAATTTGAAAACGGGCTGCAATTGGCACCCGGGCCAGACTTTGGACATGCCTATTGTAGGGGTTTGTTTGTTTATTTGTTTAAACATGCATCGGATTGCCTCATAAGGCTCTCCTGTGAATGGGTCTCATGCCATGGCTCTTTACAATAATCATTGTTTATATGGCAAATGTAAGGCTAAAGATGTAAGGAAAAAGAAAGGACAGATCAAGTGAAAATGTCATACTGCATGTAGTCTCACACAATAAGCTTCAGTCTTTCATAGTTTGAAACAAACCAATTATTTTTCCTTTGCACTTATACTGGTAATATTATACTAGTGAACTGCTACTGAATCTCCCAGCAATTTCAAATCTGGAAAATATTGAGAGAAATCATTGACAATGATTGCATCTTACCTCAATGCTTGTTTTGATCTTCATTTTACATTGGTGCCTTTTTGTCTATAATTATTTGTCTTTTAATGCAGAAATGTAATTGGCAACACCAGTTTGAAGTGAATGAAGAAAGATTAATACAAACTATGAAGATACCAAAACTGTTCTACGCTTTTGTTATTTTTACATGTGCTGCTATTTATGCTATACATGTAAAACGGAAGTTGGACTTAAAATCAAAAAATGCCGCTGATGATTCGGAAAACCAGCTTGATAGTGAGACATCAGGAACAGATCAGGCAGTTCTTTATGGAATCATATTTGATGCTGGAAGTACTGGGACTCGAATTCACATATTCCAATTCACACAGAAGCCAAAAGGTAAGGAACTTATTAATTAATTATTTACTAACAGGAAGGGTGAAGGCATGGCTCTTTGTGTCCTGTTGTGCTCTGTGAATAATGATGATTATGTATATTGCAAAGTTTAATTCAAGTCTTCAAGAGAAGTAAACACTGTTGCAAATGCAACAGATGTAACATTTAAAAGACATTTTTAACTAATTGCTGGATGAGATTATGTAATCCCAATTTATACGCAGTGATGTTAACTAAAAGAAATGTTGCATAAGCATGGTACAGAACATCTGGTGTAGTCCTCCCAGTATCTTGCATTGTGTTTGATTGATTCCCCTTGCTATCTTGTGGGGCAGAGCTTATATCAGCTTTAAATTATTTTTGATGTTTCAGAAACAATGATTCATTAATATGAAGAACCCATGTAACCTATACTAATCTTAACCAATGTTCCTGAGGTGATTTTCCTTAAAACAGCCATGTTCTTATTTATAGGAGATTCACTACTGAAAGAAATGGAAGTAGAGCAAGTATGCAGAAAAAACTTGCCTGCCTTTATATTGTATAAAAATGACAACAGCACCTATTTTTGAGGCTTCTTATGTGTTTACTACATTTACTAAAAGTGTAACCTCCTTTTTAGAAAAGTTAGAAAAAGATCTGCAGTACATCTTAAAATTCATATTTAGGATTGAGATTAAGATAGAAAAAGCAAATTCAATGACTAATTGGTAAGTCTCTTTTCCATGAGTGAAGAGATCAGTAAAATAACCTGAGGATAAAATGTTATTGCACTGGGAATGAAGCAGACTATACAGTGTTCTCTTTGTTATCCATTATTCCTCCAAGTCTTGATTATTCATGTCAGAGCATGATGCCTTCCCCACCACATAAAGGAGATAGCTTGTGACAAGTGTTCAAGAAGTGGACCAAGGGGACATCATAGGGTCCTTTGAAGCCAAAATACAGCTACATATAGCTGAAGAGCCCTTAAATGTATATGGTGATTCAGATATTTTTTATATTCCAAGTTAGAGCTCTTGTGGAACCCTGCAGGTTTCTGTTGAGATAATAATTCAAATGTTGATTTTGAGCAACAAGTTGAAGGAACACAGCCTGGTTGCATATGAACAATGAAGATAATTTATTATACTTAATTATATCCCACCTTACAGAATGCAGTCCTTTTGTGGTGGGTTAGAAGAACCATCAAAGCACCTCTTTAAAATAGCAACAAAGAGTAAATTTTATCAACCTGTAGCAGTTCATCAGGATCCTTCCTTCAGGGAAGTTGTGGTAGATGACAGGGGAAGTAGTGGTGACAGTTCAGCTGAAGAAGGCTCTGAGGACTTAGTCACTCCATCTCTCATACATATGCGCTATATGATGGAAGAGTTTCACATTAATTCCTTGATGAGGTTATCTTGATGTTCAGCATTTCATTTGCAGACTGCTAGATTGGATGTATCCTACTGCATTATTCTTTGTTTTTTAACAGAAGTCCCTAGACTAATCCATGCCACATTCAGAGCAATAAAACCAGGACTTTCTGCTTATGCTGATGACGTTGATAAGGTAATTTAAATTTTACATCTCAAGAAGGTATGTATCAGAGTCCCACTCTAGGTGCTCTGTAAATTTAGACAGTCAACTGCACACTCACCTGGGAGTGACACTTCCCAAGGTCTTGGGTAGGGTCTTTCCCATCACCTAGTTCTTGAACCTTTTCATTGGAGATGAAATTACATTTTAAATTTAGTGCTCTTGTGTCACACCTGCATATATAAGCTGAGCATGAGGGGGGGGGTTACTATTAATGTGTATGCATTTCTACTAAAAATGGTCTTTCTTTAACTACTAAGTAGAAGCACTATGTTCCTTTATCTCCCCAGAGTGCTCAAGGAATAAATGACCTACTAGCAGTTGCTAAAGAAGTTGTTCCTAAGAAGTTGTGGAAGTCCACTCCTTTGGTCCTTAAAGCTACAGCTGGTTTAAGGCTGCTGCCTGAAGAAAAGGCACAGAAATTGCTGGATAAGGTATGTTCTTTTTTTTACTTCTATTGTCTTTTAAAATACCTAAATACCATGTATAATCTGTGTCTTGGCTATCAGTTATGCTGATATCATCAACAGCTACACTTCAGTTTACAAAGTAATAATTAAACCTCAGAAATAAAAGATTGGCAGCAAGAAGAACTACCTCAGAAATGCATTGTGCTCTGCAATAATACAGTTAATATTCATAGATCATCTGGATATTTGGAGGTAGACATCATCAGTAAAATTATATCCTTGTCCTACCTCTGCCTGGAAGCACATTTTCCCTCTGTTCTAGACCATCAGTGAATCTGACTATCCAATGTAACACCAAGGAAAGATAAAGAGTGATTGTATTTGTGATGAACTGCAGATGAGCAGGGAGTGCGCATGGCCATGGTTAGCTGCTATGTGTGCTGTCACTGTCTCCCATCTAATGATTCTTCTAGACAAAGCTTTTTTCCTGAAATTGCTGTGCCTCAAACACAAATTTTTACTAGGATTCAGCCAATGTTGCCTTCCTTTTCTGACCCTTCCATGTTTTCCAACTACTTATTTAACTTCTTAGGGTGGGAGGGGAATCATGAAAAAAATCTGTTGAGGAAGAACAGGCAGAAGTGCAGTAATTTTTGATGTGTCCTGATAGGAGTCTTCCAACTGAAAGTACCATGTTAGATAAACACAGGGAAGATCATATGTTACGGTACACTAGATTTATAGCCTTCCAGAAACTGAACATGTCTAGTCTTCAGGCTAAAGTGGAAAAGAAGAAGATGTCCTATCATTATACTCTCACTACTTTTGCTTAAGCAAGCTAAGTTTTTTTCCTGAATTGCAAGTATTCCTCAGGAAGATATTACCATTCCATCCCTAGTAGTATGTGCAAATAAATATTTGCCTGTGTGGTGTTTTAAGGAAGACTGCTATGCTCCTCAAAATATTTTGCTGCAAGTCAGTATTTAAATTCTGAAGAACTTCACATTTATGGGTCAAGGAAGGGATTTTTTATTGCACCCCAACTAAAAAATTTAATAAACTCTTATTTTAAATTTAGGTAAAGCAAATTTTTCAAGAATCTCCATTCTTTGTAAGGGACAATTTTGTCTCCATAATGGATGGAACAGATGAAGGTAGGTTGCATTTGTTTTTAGTGACCTCACAGAGCTGCTCTGTTTCTGCAAAAAAAGGTGGGGAGAAAGAAAGACCTTTGTGAAATTAAGGGCAATATTGTTGGTTTTGCTAAATACCTATATATGATTTTTCAGATGCATGTACAGAATAATATAAGTATACACAGAAAAGGTTCCTGCTACAATAAGCCTGCATTCTGAAGTTAGACTAAAGAGGGTGAACATTTACTGCAGTTAATTCTGTGGTTTTTTTTAATTTCCTGTACAGCTACTGATGCTTGACTGATAGGTTGCTTTCAAATTTCACACCAGTTTAAGTAATGGGAAATGTGGGCTGTGGCAACATTCTGTTGATATATCATCTATTTATAGTGTGCTCTATTTTGGAAATACCTTAGAGTAGTTTTGCACTGACAGTTTTGCAACTGTCTACACTGTTGCTCTGAACCAGATAGGATCATACATATATGAAAGCAAGATTCTTTGTATGCATCTCTAGCTGGATATGGACCCCCATCTGCAAATGGCATGTTGAAATGATATTTTCAATAAGCCCCGGCTTTAGCATATCAGCTTCTTTTTCCCTGGTATAATTGTAGCAGTGGGCATTCAACCCATGGGTATGTATTGTCGTTTGTTGCAGTATGCATCCTTTAATTCTCTGTCACATTTATCTCATTTACGCTTTATCTCATTCATTCAGTTTGGAAAGACTCTGATGGTGTAAACTTGGGCTGTTTGGGGTTTTTTTTTAAATTTATTCTTAAATGTGGAAAACTTTTATATAAAAGTAGGAAAGCCAGTGTGGTGTAGTGGTTAAGAGCATGGGACTGGGACTCTAGTCCCTGCTCAGCCATGGAGCCAACTGGGTGACTTTGGGCCAGTCACAGACTCTCAGCCCAACCTACCTCACAGGGTTGTTGTTGTGGGGATAAGATGGAGGAGGAGAATGATGTAAACTGCCTTGAGCCCTTTGTAGGAAAAAGGCAGAATATAAATCGAAAAATAAATTAATGATAAATAAATAAATAAATCCCTATAATTTTGTTATTCCAACCAGGTATTTCAGCATGGATCACTGTCAACTTTTTAAGTGGTATGTATATAAATAAATTGTGATTGATACCTGCAAGTTTTAATTTTTCATGTTGCATTCATTTCTAAATATCTAAATTGTGATTTACCTTAGGAAACTTACAGAACAATCCTATGCACATTCACATGGATGTCAGTACATCTGTGTTCAGTAGGAGTTATTTCTAAATATGTGCATAGTATACTACCTTCGGTTGCCTCAGGAAAATCCTCTGTGGAAAGTTTGAATGTAAAACCTATATGGATTTAAAATAGGAAAATGCAGATAACTAAAACAGCTGCATGCCCTTTTTGATTCTGCAAGACAAACTTTATTTTGAGTATTTACGTCATCAGAAAGAGGGGTGCTGGCTCAGTGGTACAGCACGTGTTTTGTATGAAAAAGATCCAAGGCAATCCCTGGCATCTCCAGGCAAGGCTGGAAAAATTCCTTTCTGAAATCCTGGAGAGCTGCGGTGTTGAATTTCTGTGCTACATTGACTGGTGGTCTGATTGAGTATAAGGCCCTTTCCTATGTGGATTGTGCCTGTTTAAGAATCCAGCCAACCATACCCTTTACCAGGATACTTTCAACCTCCAAATTCTATGTTCATAACCTGAATGATCTGGAGAAAAGTGACTCGTACACTGGGCTTAATTCCCACAGAGATGCAATGCCAGGGCATAGTGGGATCTTTATATTGTCTAACAGGTGCTGTTCTCATCATCACTTGAAGAGATGGACCCTATCTATATGCATGCAACTAAGAAGTAACTTTTAGTTTTGTGAGTGTTGATTAGTGGAGATGAGTGGCAATAGAACAAACCTTCATTTACCACAGAATGTCTTGCTTTCTGACTAAGCTTTTAGTGTTTAGGGAAGACACTGCATCCACTGCCCAGTCTTCCTACTGATGTTTCTTCGTATTCTCAGGAATAACTGAACCATAAACCTGGCAGTGTATGTTGGCATGTTTGTATAGGGAATGTTCAAATAATTTTCTTGACTTTGAGATGTTTATGGTGACAAAATGTTGACTGAGTAGTTCATTAACTTTGTTTTACCAAATAATACATTTCAGGTAACTTGAATTCTCCAAAAAAGAGATGTGTAGGAATGCTGGATTTAGGAGGGGGATCGACTCAAATTGCATTTCTCCCAAGCCCTGAGGTAACAAGAAAGAATCCATTCCCCTTTTCTCAAAAAGTTGTGATGACCCACTAAACATTTTGTCTTTTTTATTACCAATTTAATTTGGGGTGTCAGACAAGCAAGTTTGAGCGTATATTTAGAATCTGCACAAGTAAATGCAAAACACCAAGTGTTTTTTCCTAAAATGAAAGCTTCTGAGCAAAATCTTATTTATAAGGTGGCCTTAAGGCTGTAGAAGTAATCACACAGCTCCATTAGCACAATGCTGCACAACTTGGTGATATGAGACACTGAGCACAGGACATTGTGTTCCTACAGTAACATGGGCTAATGCTGTCATACCAGTGATTGCCTTAATCCTTGCATATGGTTTAGTGGTGCTGCACAAATCTGTTACCCACTTTAGCAGTGGATGGAGCTGCAACAGAAAGCTCAGGACTAGAGAACTTCTGTGCCATCCATATGGCCTGCACTGTAAAGTACAACACTGCTAATACAGTGAGTAGTTGTGCTTGATGCAACCGACAGGACACATGAGAGGACTGGCTTTCCCTACTTGTCTCAAACAGGATGCCACTGTATTAACACTAGCGTGAGGCATATCATCTGTCAGGATCTAGCCTGCTCCAGGGCTCCATCTGGTGGCCAGAACTAGAATGGCCACTGTAGTATTTACAGGCTCAGTCCCAGGCTCTGCTGGAGCGCTCAACCTCCTGATGAGTTCCAGCTGGGATAGCTGTGGGACCAGCTATGTAAGAGCAAACTCTTCCCTCCGCTGGCTGCTTTAGCACCTCAGGTCTTACTGCAGGCTATGGTGTGGTTCTGCTCTTGTGCTTCACCTGATCGGGTTCCTGTTTTGCCTTGCTGTCTTGCCTTAGCAGTGCAAGTCTTCGTGCTAACTGTGCTTCAGTTCCTGCATCTTGCCTAACCCTTGCTGCATCCAGTTTCTGCCTCACCGTGTCGTACCTTGTCTTGCTGTGCTGTGAGTTGCCATATCCTGCCTTGCTGTCTCATCTCAGCAATGCAGTTCTTTTCACTAGCTGCAGCACATTCCAGCTACTGCATCTCACCTTGAACCTTTTTATATCTGGTCCCTGCCATAGCTTGTTATATTGTTTCTTGCCTTGCTGTATTGTACCTTCCTGTCTTGCCTTGCTGCCTTCTCTGCTCATGGATCCTGTCCAGTTAGCCTGCCTCAAGTACTGGCTCCCTGCTCTGTTTGTCCTCCTGGTTCTTGACCCTTGACTTGTTCATGACTGCATCCTTGTCTTGCCCTGATACATACTCCTGGTTCCTGACTTTGGCCTGTTCATTGACTATGACACTGCCTCTGAATTAACTACTAATTCAGCCCCACCTCAAGCTGTATTGTCCTGGCCCTAATTCCTCTGTTTTGACTCCTTCCACCCACATCCCGGACCATAACAGTATCATCACAGCTATGCATGTCGGTAGGACACAGTAAGAGCTACATCACATGACACAGAAGTGAAGCTCACACTGTTGCTTTTATTTATTTCTTGCTGTGGTGAAGTCTTCCTATGTAAGGTAGGAAGATGTATTTGTGAGTTTGCAGTAAAATACAAGAGATGACATACCTTCCAATTCTTATCAAGTCGAATTAAAAATGCCGGTTTGTATCCAGTGTACTTGAGCAAGGGGAACTTCCTATCCTCCTTTCCCACTGCAGCCCCATTTGTCCCTTCAGCTTCTTCTGAAGATCAGGGGACCCTCAGGAAAGATCTGGCATGTTGGGGGAGTTACAGTATAAAGGGGGTATGTCAGGGGAGGATCAGAGGGAGCCCTGCTGGTTTTCCCTAAGTGAGTTTTAGGTTAAGAACTTTATACACTGAAATGTATTTACAAGCAAATGTGAGGTGTTTCCTTTAGGGGGGTTGTGGCATAAATACAACCCTCTGCTTTTGTTGTGAATATGCAGTAGATACACCCTTGAACTGTAATTAGCCAGCTCTGCTGGAGATACTGTATATTGGCCCTGTGTTGGTGTATGCATTTGTGCATCAGGTACAATATGGTTCACCATGGCGTATGTTGTGCAAATACTGTAAGTGCTATTTTTTCAATCGGAAGTGACCATGAAGGTCATCAGGCCCAACCCCCTCAATTTATACCATCCCATTCAGATGGCTGTCCAGTTTCTTTTTTAATGTCTTTAGTGTGGGAGAGCCTTCAGAAGCTTGCTGTGAGGATAAAATGGGAAGAATGAAGGGAAATAATTTTGCACATTAAAAGGAGCTTGGAGGAGGAATAAGAGGAAAGTGTAATGCATGTTTGGGTATTTTAGAATCAAGTGTAATTTCTAAACATGTATGAGCTATTCTTCCTCATTTATTTGAAATGAAAATGCCATGAAAAGGAATTGGGATTTCAGTAGGATTCCCAATATGCACTGTAAAAGAAATGTACACATCTTTTCCCCCTTTTAAACTGATGGAATGCTCACGGTTGTTTGTTTTTTTTCTACTTAGTTTTTTTATACTGATCATGTTGCATAACAATATGAAAATATGTATGCAGTTCAAAAAAATTCAGAATGCTTCAGCCCAGCACTGCTGGCAGCTTCCAACAACATTTGCTATGTTATTTTGCTTTTCTCTGCACTGCATAGTCAAGAAGTGTTCTTCCTTTCTCTTTACAGAACATTCTGGAGGGCTCATCTGACGACTTCATCACTTCATTTCAGTTGTTTAACACCACATACCAATTGTATTCATACAGGTTAGTCATGAGAAGGAGCTTATCCCATAAGGTGGGGTAGGGAGTACATTTTAAAATACAATAATTATATTTTAATTATGATGTTTAATTGATTAACCAGTCCATAATGATTAAGTTGTAATCAGAATTTATTACCTTAAAAACCATTTTAAATGCACTAGCTGATATATAAAAATCAAATCCCCAAATGCAGTTACAATAATCCAGGGGTTGTTTGTTTGTTTTTTCAAGAGAGAACAAGCAAGTGTACTGGTTCTTCCACCCAATTTCTCCTGCTGTAGCTACGTGGAGCTAAACAATTCAGAGATGCCCCATTTAATGTTGGGTTGCAACTCTGGGTTCTATTTCCACAACAATCTAGAATATCCAGTTTGCATATCACAGTTGCTCTGCCTGGTTGCAGCAGAAGCAGTCAGGTGGCAAAACCCATCATGCACATTTATTCCTAATTCATTCCCAGCAACCCAGGGTTTGAAAACACTGTGGATTGTTGTTTGCAAATCAAGTTAATCTAAAAAGGAGGAAATGAAGGAACAAAAATGGTAAATTGTATGCTAGCTGAGAGAGAATAAAACATGGAATGTAGGAATGGCTTTTGTAACAGTGTTTTGTCAAAGTTTGGGTTAATAAAAAGGAAAAGTTAAAAATTATATCTGGGACGGGAGCAAGATCATGATATCATGGGAAGCATGATATAAGACCCCTGAGAGAAGTATGACAGCTATGTTGAGACAGACATCTCACAAAAATGTCCATGATATCTGTGTTTTCCTTTCCCTCCTCTGACACTGTTATCTTGATCCAACTGGCATCATTTAGGAAACATGTAGGTTTCCCAAACTCCATAAGCACCCACACAGACAAACAGATGCTGCATATCTGTTTCCTCATTCTGAAAAGCTTAATCTAGCAACTGGACTTGCACTATGTTTTTAATCAAAGTGGGCATACGGTAGTCTAAAGCAATTTCACTCTTCCCCTGAATTATTGTTAACAACCTGGCTAGGACTGGGCAGTCCTAGGTCAGGCTTTTCAGACTGCTTTTTACAAACCAGGAGGGCAAATTACAGAGGTCCCTGGTGCTCAGAAATGTATGGAATACATTTCATAGCTTTTTGTGTTTTTCTAGTCCTGTATTATTCTCTTTCAAGAGTAGCCAGAAATAATCAAAAGCATTTCAAAGCTTATGCAAAAGATTGTGCTCCCAAATGCTGTCCTCCAACTTTTGGGGCTCCAAAGGCATATTTAGCATTTTTTAAAAAAACTTGTGACACCACCACAAATTGGCTCCAGGTGGGTGCCAATCGCAGAAAAGATAGAACTGCTCCCCCTTATCTGTGTGTGTGCATGAATGTGCATTCTGTGTGTGAGATATTTCTCGCTCTCACACACATACATGTACGCGTGTCTCTAGCTCTGTTTACTTGCAGAAGGGGAAAAAAGCTTAGGGGGAGTCTCAGCCTGGTCTCATGATTGCATTTATGCCTACAGATGTGATGTTGGGGAAGGTTTCTTCTCAACTTTCTCCTCTTCTCAGGAACTGAGGCATCTCTAGATGTTATGGGTAGACTGATCCTCTTTTTAAGAGTATTGCTGTTTACCTCAGGAGAAAGAAATATATTTGTTGACACTATGGGACTAAAGCGTAAGATTTTTTTACATTACAAAATAGTATATACATTTGTAGAAGACAATTTATTTTGTCCGATGCTAAGGCTGACCATCTGAAAAGGTAGGCTAACACCTACAAAGTTTATGCCATTTTGTTAAAAAGGGCTTCTTAATTGTTAGTCTTGTGGTGCCAACAAGCACATTTCTTTTTTCTTTATTATAGAAAACAAACACAACGTTTGTATTTTACTTCCAAAGGCCTATTTCATGCTGCTTTATCATGTAAACATGATATAGGGTGACAATTGGGAAGAGAGTCTGTCCACAATAGCATAGAGGATATTTCATCATTTGCTCCATCTAATCATAGTATGTAAATTATATGCTATGAAAGCTTGTCAGGATACATGTCTCTGGTGTTGTGAAATGGTGTTTCTGAAGAGATATAGAAACTTAGCTCCCATTGATTCAGCATAAAATTGTTCCTGTAAGTGTCAAGAGTGCTAGTTTGGTGAGAGATATTCCAAGTTGGAAATTTGGACTTTCAGTTGTTGTTCAGCTGTTCAGTCGTGTCTCACTATAAGTGATCCTATAGGCCAAATCTCGCAACGCTTTCAGTGCTTCCTGCCAAATCCGGAAGAGTCTCCTCTTTCCTATAATACTAGGTTCCTTATGCAAAGCAACTTTTCCACTTTTGATAGTGCATGCTTAAAAGATAGTAATAAACAGTAAAGCTGAATTCAGTTTCAGTACCAGAATAGTATTTTGAACTTGCATTTATTTACCTCTCTAGTTATTTAGGACTTGGATTAATGTCAGCAAGATTGGAAATTTTAGGAGGAGTTAATGGACAAGCCTGTAAGTATTATATGAAATCTGAGTTATACTTTGAAGATTTTGGATTGGCTTTTTGTTTTTAAATGAAATAAAAAAGTTTATTAATTGATTTTTTAGAAAAAAGTTGTGTGTGTTTTGTGTATATCACATTTGACAGTGTGTGTGATTCTTTTAAGTATTTAATATATTTAAGGAATGCACATTGTAAAATGGCACTGAAGCAATTACAAACAAATAACCAGAATATATATAAATACATTTCTGTAAATGTACTGTATTAGAACAAATCATGTCACTATAACTTTATAAACAAAACAAAGGAACTATACAGAAAATGTGTTCACTATACCAGTGCAAATAATGTGTAAGATTGCATAATTTTATAAACTTATAAAAAGGCCACTTTGCTAATTTACTTTCATACATTTGTTTTTTATAGTCCTGAAAAGAATATGCATGTTTGTACATTATAGCTGCATCTGAAATCCTCTAGGGCCAATCTGAGAGAGATGCTGCCACTTTCTTTTTCCAGTTGTCATTTTAGGCACTGCTCATAAGTCTATAATAATCTCAGTACTACCTATATCAATGTATCCTTCCAAATAATTTAATAATACTCTTATAGCACAATCCTATGGTCACTAGATGGCCATAGGATTTTTCAAAGTCTTAGGTCTAGCCTTGGAAACTGACTCTGAGGTCATAGTTGGGAAGAGCACCTTCCCCACATCTTCATAGTTGGCATGGAAAGAACCACACCAGCTGCTTCTCCAAGGTTGCAAATATAACCTTGAAAAAGTGGTTTACTTACAATAGGAGGCATTCTGTGGGGCCTCAGCCTCCACTTGTGTTTCAAGGAACGACACCTAGTCAGCTGAAATCAGATGTTTAAATGTTTTTCCAGGCAGAGGAGATTGGACGCAATCTTAACCTGCACACTCTTCCCAGCCTGCACAGGGTAATCATAATCCTCTAAGTTCTGAGGGATGAGTATCTTGATAGGACTGTGATTCCTTAGTGGTTCCTTCAGAATATTGTAGCCTGTAATCTATTCATTATAATACAAGACTAACTGTCTAAAATATTTAACTTGATCACAAAATACATGCATATACTCTGCATGAGGTTTTCCATATCTCCAACAATTATCTTGGGATAACTTGTAAATCATCTTTAATTTATGCAGTATCAAATACCATTGATGCACTGTCTTCTTCAAGTTCTCTTCCAAAATGGCTGCAATAAATATTTACATTTTCTTCTAGCCAACACCACTGCTGAGATTCTTTTCCCATTCCTTTTGATAGTTCATAGGTTCATTACTTTGCACTTCTCTGAGAATTTTTTATACTTTGTTATTTAATCAGTTGCTGTTGGACCTCTTAGCTACATAATCTTTTCTTATTAATGAGATCATAAGAGCATAAGAAAAGCCATTGCTGGATCAGACCAAAGGTTTATCTAGTCCAGCAATTCATACACACAGTGTAAAACCAGCTGCCCACGGGATCCCTCATGCAGGATGGATGCAAGTCCTCTACCTGCCCAAGCTCCTCAGCAGTTGGTATATGCAGGCATGCCAGCTCTGGTAAAAGAGGTAGCACATAGCCACATGGCCATAATAGCCTGGCTAATAGCTGTGGCATCTCTTATTTGAAAAAAAAGTATACATTTCACAAACAGAATGGTTCCCTTATAAACTTAAAACATACAATCTCATTATTCTTCTAAAAATCTTTCCACAGAAGAAATTCCTAAAAAGAAATAGACCCTAACATTTTTTCTATTACAGTGAAAGAAGGTGAAGTGCTAACAAGTCCTTGCTTTTCACCTGATTTCCAAGGAGAATGGGAACATGCCAAGATAATGTACAAAATTAAAGGGCAGAAGGCAGGTATAGTAAACTGATCACTTCTTCATTTAGTAATACGTACTTAATATTAGTATTCCTTTCAACAGTATGGTTAACAAGTGGACCTTATTTTTGCAAGTGGCAATGAATCTTCGTTACAGAAATAAAACAATTTCATATATCCTCTTCTCGTAGCCAGAACTGTATGCATGCAACATTCAGCACATGTGCAGGATGCAGTAATGAGTGCATAATTGAACTTTGCAAGAATCTTGGTTTTCTGTCTTCATAACAGCACATTTCTTGTCATTATAGAGATTAAAAATATGTGCCAAGAAAAGTGCCTGAAAATAGCAGCTTCACTTATGTGAAGTAGAGAGCTTCTGAATAAGAGCTTTCAATGTGGGAGAAGCTTCAGCACCCTCCCTACATAGTTCTTTTCCAGTTGTCTTATTTCCAGCAGCAGGAGGACTCAAAATAGCCCCAGACATAGATCACACCACATGGGCAGATTTATACAGAAGAAGACAATCAGGGTGAAGCAATTGAGATAAGAGCCATTTTGATGGTGGTGTCCCATCTATGAAATGCCCTCTCCTGGCAGTCTCACTTGGTGCCTATTTTACTATATTTCAGCACTGGGAAGGGATTTGTTAATATCTTCCAAGGCTATTAAAACTAAGCTCTGTGAGGAAACATTGAAAAAATTGGGTAAGTTTAGCCTCTGTAAGAGGAGACTGAGGGGGAACATGATCGCATTTTTCAAGTTGCTCGTGGGTAGTTACACAGATCAGAGCTGCAGCATGATTTCAGATCATCCAGGACTGTAGAAGATGAAATGACAGGCTTGGTCCTGGAACAGTTACTTTGGTTGAATATCATGAAGAACTTCTAATAATCTGAGCAATTAGACAGTGGTGCGAACTCCTCAAGGAAGTGGTAGGCTCTTCATCATCGGTAGCATGCAAACAGCGTGTAGAGTCCCTCCTGTCAGTGATGGTTTACACCAGATTCCTGCACTCAGAGCATGTTGGACTTTTTCCAAATCTGATTCTAAAGACTGCTTACTCCTGATAGTCATAATCTTTAAACTGGGAATGTTGAATGGTAGTTGAAGGTCAGGCTATAAATATAATGAATAATGTAAGTTACTAGCAGAAACAGAACAAATTATGTAAAACAAAGATAATGCAAATTTGCATGATTTGTGCAGGCTGGATAAGCTTGAATTTTTGCTAAAGAACCTTTTTTTAAACTCACAGAGCATGTACAACCTTCCCAGAAGCAGACACTGTATATACTATGTTTTTATTCCTGAGTAGCTTTTAATTGTATTTGGATTCTACATGTAGCAGTATTATTAAATTGATTTTAATACAATATTTTTAGTATTCTTTTAGTATTTTAGTAATTTATTCTTCTTCCAAAGGTGTGATGTCGTAGATTTATCTCTTCTGTACTGAACTTACACAGTTCCATTCATGGCTGTTCTATTATCATTATTATTATTATTATTATTATTATTATTATTATTATTCAATCACAAGCATTCTGATTTATCTGAAATATAGCTGATAATCCATATGATTGTCTAAAATTACATTTCAACTTATTTAACAGTTTGAAATGACATGAAAATTCAGCTCACGGTTATAGTGATTAAGAGGTTTTGTGTGTAAAAACCAGGAATTCACTCATAAAGATTGTGGAAACCTCTTTTCATTGGGCAGGATCCAGAGATGTATGAGAGTAAGGATACTCCTGCAAGACTTTTCCACTCTCTCCTCACTATTATAGCCCTGCACCACCCAAAAAACTGTCCAAAGGCTTCATAATTTCCCCAGTGTGATTTGGGGTGTGGATGGGGGTGAGCAATGAAAGGAGGCAGATGAGTCTGGGGTTACTGTTTGCTGCTCATTGAGATTACACAATAAGGCGCTTTTATGCTTCTGTCAGATAATATGGCTATATTACCATGGCCTACCAGATGTCATTATAACTAATCTGAAACTGTTTGCTAAACATGTACTCTCAGAAAATAAGTCTCACATTCTTGAGTTTCATCAATACTGAATTATTGTGGATGGATTTTTTAAACATCTTTTAGGAAAGCCTCTCTTTGAAGCATGTTTTGAGGAAATTGCAAAAATACTTGCCAAGAAGGTTCACAGGACAGAAGAAGTAAAGGACATAGATTTTTATGCTTTTTCCTACTATTATGATTTGGCTGTGGATGCTGGTTTAATAGGTAAGCCTGCTTCTTACTTATTGTAAGACTGCATTAGTAGCATAAAGGTGACTCACTGTACAGGTCCCATATCTTTCCAGGTTGGGTTTAATGGACAGAAATGATAGCCTGCAGTTACTTCAATAATTTTGACCAGGCCTACAAATCCTTCTTTATTTTAAAAATGCTTGAGAAGTGGTATACTTCTATCATGAAACTGTTCAGCAAAAATTAATTTCATATCAGTCACAGTGGAATAAAAAGAAATAGGAAGTTACTAGCTTGTTACAGAAAATAGTTTCCCCTTGAAAGAAAAACTATCTAGTGTTCATATTCATCTTGCTTTGTCAGTTAATTACCACTTGGATTGGGTCATTGCAGTCTGACCACTGGTCCTCTTCTACATCTGATTCTGTGCATATCTTATATCTTACACTGCTGAGACCTTTGGCTTCCCTTTGTAGTAACATAAACCTTTCCTTCTCCTTTCTGCACCTCTGTCTGTCAGCTGAGTAGAACACACTTGTGTACCTCAAGCAGACTTCATTGACCCATGAAAGATTAAGAGCCAAATGCATTATTATTTAAGGCACTGTTTAAGGTACAGGCCTTCATAGGATTTGCTGAAACTGACTAAAACTGGAGTTTGTCACTGTTTACTTGGACTGTACTATCTGATTCACTAAGAATGAATATGGAATATCTTGCCTTTCATGCAAAGTATTGGTCTCGTGCATCTACTGATTCTTTCCATCTCTAAAAGTCAGTGCTATAAACTGATTTTCCCCATACCAAAAATTGTTAAGTTTCCTGAATTCTTCAAGTAACTCTTTTGACCTGTGCCTGAAGACTTTGTCAGAGATGCCAGTGAGACCCATATGTGTGTATGCTTTTATGTTGACCTCCTTGCAGTTCTTGTTATATTACTACAAAGAAAGCATTGCTGCTTTCCCTCTGTCATTCTTAGGAGCATATGCAGTGATGCATCCAGGTAGTTATGCTGTGATTCAATACTTTACACCCCCACAGCCAATGCATGCAGGACTAGTGTGAGAATGAGGAGAAAAGCCCATCTTCTTCAGGAAGCTACATCTCTCCTGGCTGAGCTCTGCAGCACAAGATCTATGCTAAGTGGGAGACAAATCACCTGTAGACTAACAGCTGTTCAGCGACATAACACAAAAACTCCTCTCAGCAGTAGCAAGGAATACTGACAACATCCCCTACACCTGCTGCACCTCACTTACAACAAATGTACCTTCTCAGATTACAGTTAAAGACTCAAAAGATGAAATGGTCCTCCATGTAGATAGTTGGAAACATTTCTAGCCTAGCCCTCCTCCTGACATGCTAGTTTTCTAGTTATTTTGCATGGAGGAGCATTCTCATGTGAGCCCCCACCTGCAGTCTGAAACTCAGGATTGTGACTGACTCCTCAGTAAGTACCAAGCTGAATGCATTTACTTTAAATGCATAGAGTTACTCAAATTAATCTTTATTTATGTATTTATTATGTAATAGATTTATATGCCAGTACAATAGCCCATATCTGGGCTCTCTGCATGGTTCACCATATAATAAAAATACAACATTCTAAAATCAATAACATTAAATATTCAAAGCATATTAATATAATGCAAATATAAAAGATAATATATCAAAATTAAAGTATAATATAAAGTATCAAATAAAACAATTTAAACTAAAATTGACTAAAACCAAACATGGGGTCAATTTTAAAACCAGATAGCCATTAAAATCCATTATTAAAATAGCCATTGGAAAGGTGAGCCTATGCCTGGCACCAAAATGCTAGCAGCATGGTCTGCTATCAGTCATTTACTTGGTTGCACCGGTGTTGTTCTCCCATTCTCTGCTTTCAACGCTTGGAACCCTTTTCTCTCTCTCTAGATAATGAAAAAGGAGGGACCCTAGCAGTCAGTGACTTTGAAACTGCCGCAAAGAATGGTAAGCCATTTTTTCTCCTGTTTGCACTTTTGCTACAAAAGCATCATAAAGAGATGTATATGAAGCTATAGCCCAGCAGAGGGCGTCTTGCTTCTGTTAAGTAAGTCAAATGGCTTTTGGAAATTGCTGTCTTAAGAATATAATCTGCTTTCAACATCTTCCTTTTGCTTTTTTTGTCACCCAAAGTGTGTAAAACCATGGAGGTACAGCAAGGAGAACATCCTTTCCTCTGCATGGATCTTACTTATATCAGTTTGCTATTGGAAGAACTAGGCTTTCCAAAGAGCCACATGTTTAAGGTAATAATTCTTAAATACTGTCTTTAGTATTGAAGGTATTGAGCTTTAAAAGCATCCAGATCTTGCTCCAAGAATGTCCACTCAATTCAGCAACTTTTAAAGAGTGGTACATAGCACTGAGTCTACAAGAGCAGAGCAGGGCTGTCAAAAAAGGACACTTTGAAAGGCTTTCATTCAAGGGTCATGATAAGTAGGCTACACCTTGATGGCACACAACAACAACATACTTTGCAAGTATTCTGGTTTCTTCTTTCATAGCCCCTTTATCTTTTCAAAGCTTATAGCAAGGGCTTGAGTTAGAGAAGAGGTGGGCAAGTTTGAGGGGCCTGGGTGCCCTTTTCCCCCTGTAAGCCCTCCAAAGGTCTCACTCCTCCTCCATGTAGCACTAATGTGGCTATTTTTGTGCCACAGCGAGGGCCTACGGAAGGGTGGAACAGGGACTGTAAGCTCCACATGTTGCCCACCATGGATTACAGGAAAATAATGAAGGGGAGATATAAGCAAAGAGACAGACAGGATGCTGCAAACTGTGTCCAGAAGAGTCCAGCTCTACTGTTCTAAAGCTCTTAAACTACAGATCAGAATATTATTTACAAAATGAGGACTCTAATTTTAAAACACAACTTGTTTGGAACACTTCATTGACAGTTTCTATTCTGTAAATCTACACAAGACAGACAATGCAGCCATGAAGAATAACTCTTTCCTGCTCTTTTCCTTGCACCCCCTCCCCCTACCCTTTTATGAAAGATGGGAACCTGAGCGATCTAAATTCTTCCATGATGCATAGTGATTATGAGAAAAGAGAGTCTCTGTGGCCCTGGTTACATACATTACTTAGAGGTCTACTTCTCTCATGAATGTTCATCATATAAGTACAACATCAAGTGTTGATTTGTATGTATGCATGAGCCACACTGGATCCAACAATATCATATATGGAGCTCTCATATCACCTGAGGAGCCAGTTTGTACATAACAGCTGCTGCTCATGAAGTATTGAGAAATTCTCTCCCTCGTGTGTGTGTGTGTTAGCAGCCCAAGGAGTTATCTCCATTTCCATTAATCCTTCTCCACTTTTCATTCTAGCTTGCCCGAAAAATCAACAACATTGAAACCAGCTGGGCTCTGGGAGCGATCCTTCACTATATAGATTCATTTCACAATCTATAATATGGACTTTTGGGAGCCTGGAAGACGTGACATTGCAGCATTGTCAAATCTTAAGTGGGTGCAAACCTGATCAGGAAACTACTCCAAGTCCTACTGCTTCTAATAGAGTATGATTGTAAGAGCTCTTTTTATGTGTGTCCAGAGCTCAGGCCACTTTCAGCAGTGAATTCTGATGGATTAGATTTGAAAGCTTAGGAAACCATTACCCTCCATGAGATCACAAACTCTTTTTAAAGTATTGCTCAAAATCTTGTGGCTATCGTTCTGGAAAAGAATAGGCCATGTCATCTAATATCACGTCTTGGGCAGCATATCTGAGGTCAAACTGGATACATGTAAAAACTATCCTGTGATTGAGGATGAGAAGTTCACGTTTTCCAGTTTGTCTTATGGTCTCTATGAGAAAAGCTCATTATCCTCAGACAAGCCATTTGCCCTTGCTGCTGTTAGTAAGAAGTGCAACTTTTTGTTGCTTTTTTGTGATGGGGGATTTGCTTTGATTTTTTTTAAAGTTTCAAGACTAACTTATTGTATCCATCTTAAAAAAATGCTTTGCTTGGACAAACTCTTACTACCATAGCACATACTGAGAATTGTTTTTGAAAGATGACTTTTCTGTCCTCCTAAGCCTGGCAACATTGGTGCACTGGCTTACTTTGGAGGTGATAAAGGTGTTTTAAAATCCTGTTCCATAAGCTGAAATTAAATGGAGTCATTCCAATGGGTCTGACTTAAGTTTCTTCTGAGGAGCTAACAGGACCTGAATGTCACTAAACATCTGCCTGAAAGTATAGGAAGATTGTGTGCTGATCTTCTGCAAAAGTCCCCATCAGTATGGCCTCAATGATTCAAGAAGGTGGTTGGGCCAAGCATCTCAACATGGCAGATGTCCTTTCCAAAAGATGTTGAGATCCTGTGACTAAGTTTGAAATTTTTGGCATTAGGAAGCCAAATTAAATAATCTTGTGGGAATCAGGTTGACCTTTATAATTAAAGGGGGAAATTCTCTCCTAGAATGTAATAACCCCGCTGTAGGCTCTCAGTTCAGGATGTTATTGGTTGTGTTAATTCTGGATTCCTCACTAACTTTAGAATGTAGACCATTGTGCCTTGCTGTTTCACAGCCTCATAATGTAAAGCAGTGACCACTGGGTACTCATTGTGGAATTTAAATCTTAAACAAAATAGTTGCATCCAGGTTAGGCCTGTCTAGTCAAGGCAAAGAGCTGAGAATCCATTTCTGACACTAGTACCCAATTTCCACTTGCTAATCCCAATGAATGCTTAATTTTCTCAATGCTAGGGTGATTTATGTTCCCTCCTCCTCATTTTCCAGCCTTATGTCTGAACAGTATGATAAATTCTTTCCAACTTGGGGTTAGCAATTTACAAAGAATAAATAGCTATAATATCTTGCTATAATCCAGTATCCAAACATGATCAAAGAACCACTGCCTTTTGGGCACAGCATAGCCAAATTGGATTTCAGAGTTGGCCCACTGGGCTGTGATGAGCAGACCTCTCATGGGAATGTATTCGTCAGCCACCACCAAAATGTTTGTGGAGATGATCATCAGAATTCTATCTACCATCAAATTCTTCTTTTGTGTGGATTTCCTTTATTATTATTATTATTATTATTATTATTATTATTATTTATTATTATTATTATTATTATTATTATTATTATTATTATAACATTTCTATGCCGCCCCTTGCCGAAGCCTCAGGGCAGCTTACAACACAATAAAATACATTGAAATACAATAGAACATAATAAATTACCATTAAATACAAAAATACAAAAAATACACTGAGTTACGAACATAATAATATAAAATTAAAATTATCAGTATAAAATAAGTAAATAAATAATATAAGGAAGAAGAAAGTTGCCCTGGCCAGATCATATATTTTAACAATTAAAATGATGTTTAAATAAAAAGGTCTTTACCTGGCGCCGAAAAACCAGTAACGATGGTGCCAGGCGGACCTCTTTGGGGAGTGAATTCCATAGGTTGGGCGCCACCGCAGAGAAAGCCCTCCTCCGAGTACTTACTCTCCTAATTTCTTTCATGGAGGGTTCCCGGAGAAGGGACTCTCCCGCAGATCTCAAGGGGCGGTCGGGCATATACGGACGTAAGCGCTCGTTCAGGTAGCCAGGACCCAAGCCGTTTAGGGCTTTATAGGTCATAATCAACACCTTGAATTGGGCCCGGGCTTCAATGGGAAGCCAGTGAAGCTGACGGAGGACTGGAGTCATGTGAGCATAACGCCCCGTCCCCGTCAGCAACCTGGCAGCTCTATTTTGCACCAATTGAAGTGTTCGGACCGCCTTCAGGGGAAGCCCCACGTAAAGCGCGTTACAGAAGTCTAGGCGGGAAGTCACCAGCGCGTGTGTCACCGTCACCAGGCAGTCGTACTCTAGGTAGGGGCGCAGCTGATTAATCAGCCGAAGCTGAAAGAAGGCGCTCCTTGCCACCGCTGTCACCTGAGCTTTCAAAGAAAGCTCCGGGTCGAGGAGTACTCCTAAGCTGCGGACTTTGTCCCTAAGAGGGAGTGTTGCACCATTCAGGACCAGGTCAAATCCACCCTCTCCGAAGCCCGATCCGCCAACCAACAGGTCCTCCGTCTTGTCTGAGTTGAGTTTCATTTTATTGGCCCTCATCCATTCCATTACCTCGGCCAAGCACCGGTTCAGCACAGCCACTGCCTCACCTGGATTAGTGGAAAACGAGAGGTAGAGCTGGGTATCATCAGCGTATTGATGATTCCGCAGCCCACACCTCCTGATGACCTCTCCCAGCGGTTTCATATAGATGTTAAATAGCAGAGGGGATAGAATGGAGCCCTGTGGTACCCCATGGCATAGCTGCCATGGCGCAGAGACATGGTCCCCCAGCACTACCTTCTGGAATCGACCGTTGAGATAGGAGCAGAACCACTGCAAAGCAGTGCCTCCAACCCCCAATCCTGCTAGCCTATCCAGAAGGATACCATGGTCGATGGTATCGAAAGCCGCCGAGAGGTCCAGAAGAACCAACAGGGATGCAGTCCCCCTGTCCTTCTCCCTGCACAGGTCATCGTACAGGGCGACCAAGGCAGATTCAGTACTGTAACCGGGTCTGAAGCCGGACTGAAAAGGATCCAGATAATCAGTTTCATCCAAGAGTGCTTGGAGTTGTCCCGCCACCACTCGCTCCAACACCTTGCCCAGAAACGGGATGTTGGCCACAGGTCTATAGTTAGTGGCCATCTCTGGATCCAGTGACGCTTTCTTCAGGACCGGTCGTATTACCGCCTCCTTTAAAGGGGCAGGCACTCGACCCTCCTTCAGAGAAGCGTTAACCACTTCTAAGATCCAGGTCCCAATCCCGTGCTTGGAGTTATTTATTAACCAAGACGGGCAAGGATCCAATAGGCAAGTGGTGGGACGTACTCGTCCAAGCACCTTGTCCACATCATCGGGCCGCAATAATTGAAATTCCTCCAATAATTTTGGACCAGACGGTAGCATTGGCGTCTCCCCAGAGACCTCTGATTCATTAGTGGAGTCCAGCTCGTGATGAATCTGAGCGATTTTCTCCCTGAAATGCCTGGCAAAGTCGTCACAGCGGGCCTTTGAGGGTGGCATCAGATCTTCCTTAGGACCCGGGCGAACCAGGCCTTGTACCACTCGAAAAGACTGGTAGTGCATAAACTTGGTCCTTTCTTGGACTAGGCCAGTTTTTGCTTCTCCTACCCAAAGAGAAAAGCTGCTTAATAGTTTATTGTGAGCAACTATCTGTCTCATAAGAGGCAGTTAGAAGGTTTTGGTAGTAACAGTCTGTATTGCACTTACAATTATTTTGTTCATAATTTAAACTAGTACTTAAATATGCAGCATTATGCACATGTAAATTTTACAGTGAGTTTATATGTTTACAAGATTTCTGGGGCTACCAAGGAAGACTTTATTTTAAATGGTGTTCTTGGACTTCCAAGACCATTGCCTTCCTTTTCAATAAATGAATGTAGCATTGTTACACTGAGCAAGGATTATATAAATCTTGGCTAAGTCTTAAACCACATGTGGTGCTGTATGTGTCATTAAGAACCATGCCAGTTCATAAAAATGCACACATTGATAAGCATTGGGGTGGTGGGGGCAAATTTGTTAGGCGTGTAGCATGCAAAGAAGGAAGCTTAAGTCTTTCCTCCTTTGCCATGTTCCTGTTGAAAATGAAGCTCCCATTGGTGTCACTGGTGAGTGTTTTGCTAATAGGCACGGGGGACAATTTTACTCATTTTATTTAGATCTCTCCCCCAGCTAACTGTGGTCAGCTATTGCTTAAAAACTGTCATGGTTCCTAATGATGCCTTTAGTATTGCATGTAGTTTGACTCCAAGGTGGAAACAGAGCCAACATGGTAGCATTACAGTTCTACTGGTGTACTGCATAGAGGGCATTGAAGACAGAATGTGGAGAAAGGCAAAGATCATCTAGTGATTTAATGCACCCAGTACCATATTCATGTGTCTTTACTAGAGCACTTCATCTCATAGTTTTGAAGAATCTGGACTACAAGCCAGTATACTTGACAGAATGTCATCTTGCAGGCATTAACCTTTATGTGGGAAGACAGATCAGATGTCAAAGCTCTTCTAGAATTTGATTGTCATTGGCTTGCCCATTTAAAGTAGCATGTACATCAATGCATTTTGGATATTCAGGAATTATTTACTAATATTACTAGTACTATTAGTTTTACTAGTACTAGAAATTGCTACTGTTTTATTTTAGGAAGGATTTATGCTTGTGTATGGAGGTAAATCATGTTATATTGACCATTTGGATTAACTTTTACCTGGCTGCAACAGAAGGAGAATAGGAGTGAAATCCCTTCCATTAGCTTGGCTGGGTCCATCTGCCATTTGGTTCTTTCCACTCTCAGAACTCATTCATGCAGTGGCCGTGGAATTTTAATCTGCTTATTTTTTCTGCTGCTTTTTTCCATTTTATATTGTTTCTAATTAAATTATTTGCCATGATTTTAAACTCTGAACTGCCCTGAATGATTCGACAGAAGGAAGTATATAAATTGAATCCTACATTTCCACAGGAAACTATCTATGAAGTTTTCCTCAATTAGGGTGAGGGAAAGTGAGAGAAACTTGTCCAAGGCCATGCAGCAAAGTTCATAGATGAGCAGGATGCAAGACCATGTCATCTCTGACAAATCAAATGCTCCCTCTTCCTTACACACACACACACACACACACACACACACACACACACTTGATTGTGCCTTACACAGCATAGAAACTTCCCATTCAAAGTGTCCTTAGTATGTGAAACACTAATTTATTTCGCACAAAAGCTGGGAAACTGCCAGATGAACTGTGATCGGAGGAAGTGGGTGGGGCATGGGGAATGGAGTGTTGCCTTCTGGGGAATCCTGGGAGCCTGGATTTGCTTCCTCCAGGCCTTAGGTTCTGCATCCCTCTTAAACAGTCTAGCACTTCACTTCAGTCTAGCAGAGCTCCCATTACACCCTTAAAATACCCATGCCATTGTCAGTCCCATCTACACTGATGAATTCATGATTCCTACTGAGTCCTGTAGGACTTATTTCAAGTAAACATACCTAGGATTAGATGGCAAGGGATTAGATAGAGGCATGCTGTAAAACTGCCTTGGTTTGATTTTTAACTGATGTTCCCAGGGTTATAAAATGACCAGTGA